CATATAAAATGTATAATAGTTGAAATGTGACTGTATTTTACAAAATACTAGTCCACTAAAACACAGCCAAGACAGGTCACTTTGTAAAGATCAGTTATATTATTGGATATGGTAACACGAGTGCATGTGCATTGCGTTATTGTAACTTCTGTATTGTTAGCCAGGCATGGCTGGAAGCTCAGTATAATACAAATAATTAATATATAAATGTATAATATTATGAGTTTAAGCTATTTAGACTAAAAAGTTTGTGTTTTTTGTTACAATTTGTAGTCATTCTAGAACGAAAAAAGTAAGTATAATTTATATTTTTGTCCTAATTTTCTATTGAGGTTACGAAGTCGGTCATATCAAACCAACCCATTCAGAAGTACACTAGTGAAAATTATAATAAAATAGTTTTTTTTACAAAAAATTTTATAATTATCTGGAAATTATAAAGATTTCACATGTGAAATTTGAAAATGTTCTAATGCATTATATAATTTTTAATCTTAAAATCATAATTGCTTTGCATGTTAGATAGTCAACATTCTTAAAGAAAGAGGTTTATGAGAAAATCTTTAATTAAAAAATCTTAATACTTAATTAAAATACTTGATATTTTGTGTACGAAAACTTTGTAATGTTTACCAGTAACCTGCAAAATTTTGTAAAGATGTGCATACATTATGAAAAATCATAGTGTAATTACTCTCAATAATACTTTTGTAATGGAAGGGTTAAACAAAATTAATTTCCAAGTATTAAATATAATTTGTATTTAGAAGGGTTATAGAACACCTATAATATCAAAATATGTTGAATTTATTTTTAAGTGATAAAGAATATTGCATGTTAAACTTTCCTTATCAAGTAAGGCTGGTTCTTTTGAGAAAAGCTCAGAAAACAGTTTCAAACCAGAGAATTTTGTGAGCATGCAAGGCTATATGATAATTGTGACCAACAGTTTAGGTACTACTAATTCACTGAACTCTGTGAGTGATTATAAAATAATATATTGAGAAATTTAGTAAAAGACATACTAGTGTAAAATCCAAGTTTTGCTATATTTGTCTATATTCTGACAGAAATTGTCTGTTCATAAGTTTTGTATGAATACCATTTTAATTATTTTTGTTGTGCATCTATGTTTGTTTACCATGATTTAATATGAAATAGTGTGTGTATCAATTTTAGAGCTTGCTTTTTTGATTCATAGAAAATTAGAGATTTGATTAAAATGGAAACCTCACTTTTAATGGAATATAAGCTTTTGTAATTAAGTTCAGATGTTTACTTTATAAGTTGAGATTTCTAGAGAACAACTTAACATTATCATGCTATTCAAAACCTTGTATTAATTATTTAGAATATAAACCCAAAAATGGCTGGGCAATAGATCCTTTCGGAATGTCGCCAACTATGGCATACTTGTTACGTCGAATGGGCTTGGATAACATGGTGATTCAACGTGTTCACTATTCTGTCAAGAAGCAGTTAGCTCAAAAGAAAGGGCTTGAATTTTTGTGGAGACAATCTTGGGGTAAACAGTTTTTTTATGATATTACTGTGCTACATGTGGCATCAGTTTAACTTGGTATTGTCCTTGAAAAAAAGCATTACAGACCCATATCTTTTAAATTTATTTGTCTAACCCAACAATAAAAACTACAATAACAGTCACTTTGTATAACTAAAACAAAATATTGATTGTTGTATGATACATAATATATTGTTATTAAAATCATAGGTTATCATAAAACGTAAGTTTAATAGATTGTAGAGCAACATATACTGAAATTATTTTGTTGCTTTTATCATTGTCCAATGGTCGTATAATACATAGGGGAAAACCCATTACAGTCCTCATGTTTTTTTAAAGCTTGCATGTTATAGTATGATAGGAAAATAAATGTTTTTCATGGAACAACTTGAGGTAAGCTTAATTAAATAATTTGACAATCGACCTTACCAGGTTTTGTTTTTCAACAAGGCCACAGTGTTAGGCTGTGTTAACACTGGTCCTTATCAGCCAAAGTAATTACTCTGGCTAATATTATATATATATATACACACACTAATATAAATCAGGTTTAAAAATTATTACATATATATTAAATGAAACTTCCTGGTTAATGTTTAAAAAGTGTACTTGCTTGTAATTTTAATATGGTAAAAAAGTTATTTTTGTTGTTTACTAGTGATTCTAAACACAGTGAAACTGCATGCAGTGTTTTTCAACGAAAACTATGAAAACATTTACAGTTTTATAAACAAAGGACTTTGTAAACAAGTCTCAGAAGAATGTAGGAAAAAAATAAAAAACAATGATTAAAATTTACAACAAGAGTAAGAGTTTTAATTGTTTTTTTAAAAACAAATCACAATGAAATCTTTTTGAATTTTCGAAGCTTCAAATTCATTCAAATATCAGATATAAAAAATAATGTATTTTCTTTGCAAAAGCTACATAAGCTATAGAACATTCATCTTAAGTTTCAAACTATTACATCTAATATTTTGTTTTTGTTTTGAAATGCAGTAAAATATATCATATAACCAGTATGTTTAGGTGATGAACCTGGACTTCTGAAAGTTAAGGTTTATTTAAAATTTATTGTTGTGACATCTATCGTTTAGAGGACATTTCATTGACTCAAGAGATAAAGTGAGATATGTAGGTCTTCAGCAAAATAAACTTGTTTACCAAAAACTAAGATCAGAGTTGTAGTTAACTCAATCATTACAGCAAATATAGGTAAACTATCATCAAGTTGTGTTTTGATGAATTCCTTATGTTGGGACATTTTGATCTTTGAAGACAGCATTGCTCAACTGCTCCTTGTTTTATCAAATTTATAAACTATTTGTCTCACAAGTTTTAAACAGCATCATTTTCACAATTTAAAACTCTAGCATTTATTAAAGATGAATTGGAAAATATTCTTGAACTGCCAAACAATCTGGAAAATTTTTATTTTCACAGAGCTATTTCACCACCAACTCAGTGCTGTAGTTGTTTTGTTCATCAAAGCAACTTCAGCCCCCGGAAATTCCTTTGTAACTCAAATCGTGTATAACAAATCAGGCCCGGCATGGCCAGGTGGTTATGGCGCTAGACTCGCAATCTGAGGGTCGCGGGTTCAAATCCCCATCACACCAAACATGCTCGCCCTTTCAGCCGTGGGGGCATTATAATGTGACGGTCAATCCAACAATTCATTGGTAAAAGAGTAGCCCAAGGGTTGATGGTGGGTGGTGATGAATAGCTGCCTTCCCTCTAGTCTTACACTGCTAAATTAGAGACGGCTGGTGCAGATAGCCCTCGTGTAGCTTTGCGCGAAATTCAAAACAAATCAAGTATAACAAATCCTTATATAATAGATTTTGAAAGTACTTCAGAATGCACTTGAAGGTCCATGTAAGTTGTTTTTTTTTGTTAGGATTTAGTTATGTTTTTTGGTTTCTTTACTCTTATTCCAAAATTTGTGACAACTTGCAGACTAATTTACATTCTTCAGTTAGTTATGCATAATTAATCTACTTTCATTTTAGCATTTTGACAAATAGCTTGTTGTTTATTATGAGAATAAACTTGACTTTCTATACCACGTATGCCAGCGTATAAGTCAACCCTGATTTTGAAGTCTAAAATATGGTTTCCATGTTTTAAAATGTTTTTTTTTTCAATAGCAGTTCTCATGTAAGAATGTATAAATTGAAGATTATTTATACAAACCAGTCAAATGACTGCTTCATTAAAATTAATCCTCAGCCCTTTTCTCGAATTTGATTCAAATTTGTCATAATGCACCTTCAGGAAAATAATTGAGCAAAGGTTATGAACTTATTCAGACCTTTTGGTAACCAAGGATTATTTAATTTTATACCCATGATCAAGCATGAGCATAATGTGGATTGTGTAATCTTTTCTTTTTTAGTAGCAATAATAATAATACATAGAATAAGTGTCTGACTACAGAGAGTGAAAATGAAAAACAGTTGAATTAGAGTGAGAAAAGAAACAAATTGTTTACTTATTGTGAGCTGGTATATCATACAAAATCAAATATATTTGTAAAGCAGTTGCCAATAGCATCATAATTTCTGTTGCTGACATTTATTCTCACTGCATGACCCAAGTGTACAACTTTATGATGTGGAGTTGATAAGTAAAAGTTTATTTTTAAGGCTAATATTCAAGGCTAGTAACCTGCAAATGATACCATAAAAACTCATTCAGTTGCTTACTTAAGAGTAGCTTTTGTAAGGAATTTTTAATTTTTTTATAATCGTGTAGATAATTTGTTTGAGTTAACATTGTGTTCAACAAAACATTGGGTTTGGTCAAATACATTTGAAATTGTATCTTTTCGAATGTCCAACTATTATTTGCTGCCCTGTACATGTGTGGTATATTCTATATATGTTTAATACATCAATTACTAATTTAGAAAATATGACCTGACATTATTTGTAACTTAATTATGACTTACTAAATTTCATGAACTTAGTGTAGTGTTCATTAACTTATAATAAATTGTGAAACATTTAGTTTCAGGATTTTGCTTTTATTGCTCATGAACACAAAAACTATTACAATGAACCTAATTATTATTAGATGGTGGTGTTAATCTAGTGTGCTGTTCATAATAAATAAAGGCCTGCATAGTTCAGCTGTCACTGATGTTGATAGTCATTAAGACAGACTTTTCTTTTGTAGATCAGAATCATACTACTGATATTACCTGTCACATGATGCCATTCTACAGCTATGATGTTCCTCACACATGTGGACCTGACCCTAAAATTTGCTGTCAATTTGACTTTAAACGACTTCCTGGAAATAAAGTTAATTGCCCTTGGCGAGTTCCTCCTGTAGCTATCTCAGACAAAAATGTGGAATCCAAGTTAGTTTTTCTTTATTCAATCATTCATAAAGCTCCTTTCATTTGTAGAAACTAGGAGAGAAGATGCATTGTAAAGAAATAGAATCTGTAACATATATATAAGTTAAAAAATGAAAACTAGCAATCTGGTGTGGAAATATTCTTAAAAAATACAAAATATTTGCTGTCTATAAATCATTTTCTATATTTTGTTGTGTCTGTAGTCTGTGATTGGCAAAGTACTATGTTTAATATATTCTTTTCAGTTTTTATGCTATAATACTCTTCTTTTCCATATGTTTTTGCCATGGAGATATGCTTTCTTAGTTTTTATTTATTTTCAGGCTCAAAATGTTTGACTTACAAATTGTCATTAAACTATTTACATGTGTGTATTATGAAGTGTGACTTTTAATAACATTTTGTAGTTGTTTTCATTTACAAAATTGTTAAAGAAGACAGTGGTTCTCAAATTATATATATAGGTTCATGTATATCTTTTGTATCTGAAATCAGCTGTGTTGTGAGTAAAATTTCAAAGTTAAGCAATTTGTTATTAGGTTAAAAAAGTAAATAAAAAGAACAAATATATATATATATATATATATACCGTAGACCTAAAAAAATTGGTATTTTGTCCTTGAACAATCATTTATAAGTTAATGTTGATGAGACAGTAGTTATTTTTTGCATCAGAGAAGTTTCAAAGCATTGGCCTATGTTAGGTTGAAGATTTTTGTAAATTAAAAACATTCAAGAAATTAAAAAAATATTTTTATTTAGTAATGCTTTAAGTATTGATTTTGATTTAACTAAAAATTATATGTTTTGTTAGGTCATAAAAATTTTTTATTGGTTCAGGGCATGGACATTATTAGACCAATATAGAAAGAAATCTCAGCTCTTTCGAACCAATGTGGTAATGATACAATTAGGAGATGACTTTCGCTATGATAAAATCTCTGAATGGGACCAGCAATTTTCCAATTACCAAAAGCTTTTTGACTACATGAATCAAAGAGAAGACTGGCATGTACAGGTTAGAAATCATAAGTTATTTTTGGAAAATAAATAGTGACCTCTTAAATTCTTATAAACAAAAAGAAGCAATTGTCAAAAAAAATAAACAAATAAAAATACAAGTAAACTGAATCTTTAGCAGATGCTAACCCCTATTCTTATTCCTTAAAAATGATTTACCCACCAGTTGGTCTAAAATTATTCTCAAAGTTAAGAATATTTTTTAATAGAAAATCTCATAATTTGTATTAAAAAAATGTCCAAAAAAAGGCAGAATTCATCTGTCCATTGAAGGAAGTATACTTTTTCTATCTGTTATGTATTTTTTGAAGTCATTGTACTTGATAGATGGATAATTTGATTGGAAAACTAACAAAAAAAACATGAATACAAGCTACGAATAATAAGTACTTACATATAGTAGTCTAAAATTTTGATTTTTTTAAACACATAATTAGGACTTCCAATAAGGTGTTACTATTATGATCATTTAACTATTTTGAATACGATGAAAGGTATCATCCAATCAAGTGCTTCGTTTTTAAGCCTATTATAGCAGATGTAAATGAATGGTAAAAAATAAGCTAAATGAGAACTAGACACTATATTTATTACTTGGTAAATTAAATTTTAAATGTGACTTTGCACTTTTGAAAACATTTTCTTTTAATAGAGTAGAATTATAGGAAGTTCCTTCTGTGGCATCATTAATTTTTTTGGCAGATTTGCCTAAATTTTTCGTAGAAGATATGACCATCTTTAAGTTCTCACAAAACTTTACTCTTTTACTTATATTTATTACCCAGCAGAAAAATAACTCAAACTAAACAAGGTTTTTGATGCTATAATCAAAATATAGTTTTCATAATAGTTTTGAAGATATTCGAGATATAATTGCAGGTTTTTTTTTTTTACAAAACCAGTTATATTGGAATTTTCTGTAATAAATCCATAACTTATGTTCAGATTTATACTGATCTAGTAAATAATACTAGTTTTTAACAACAACAACAACATTTGTATCATACATGTCCACTTAATTCATGTAGAAAGTTAACAGTCTTAATGTTATTGTTTTCGTAACGAAGGCCATGGTTCTCAATAGGAACTGTAAAGTGCTTGATATAGTTCCATAAAGTTTGGTGGTTTTGGTAGAGACCCCAATGGGGTCTAAGGACAGCTTCTAGTTTGAGTTGAAGGAGCAAAGTCCAAAAAGATCCATAATTTTGTGTTCTTTGGGTTATAAAATAATTTTTTAAATTAATTAAAGGTAACTGCCTAACTTCTAGACCTATTAAAAATAACCCTTGTAAGTTCAATTTTAAAAATGATGAAGCAAAGAAAATGATAAAAGCAAATTTGTCAATAACCACACCATACCATGTTCAATCAGCAGTTTTGAAAAATAGCTGTCAAAATTCAATGTAATTTCCTTTTTTTAAACAATAAACATGAGCCAGGGAAAGGCATAGATTTTTTTCAAGGTTGATAGTGCACTATGATTGTAAATAGTTTCATTGTCAGGTTGTTGCAATGATTATCATTCATTATTGTCATAACAGCAAGTGACAAAAGTAACTTATATCGAAATAACTCTGATACATTTATTTTAAATTTCCCTCTTTTCTTCTTCCTGCTGTTAATCGCACTTGAAGTTAAAGGAACACAATTGAAATGACTGTCTTTTTTTTTTTTCTTCATGACTTTATACATAACTGAGCCTCATGGTTGTCAAGGCTAGTAGTCGGTATAATCAACTATGTCTAATTATTGATTAATTGCTCTTTTTAATTAATATCGAGTTTTAAAAAAATAGTAACTGACATTATCTTCTGATCAGAGCAAGCTACCTACTTAGAGCGAAACAAAAATCAACCTGGTAACAAGTATAGGTAATTAAATATACCGTTCTTACATTTCTACGTATAAAGATTAGAATGCATTGTTTCATCAGTTGGGCACCCTCACTCTTAATAATTAGATTGATTATTAGGCTACTAACAATGACAGTACAAAACTAGTTATATTGGAATTTTCTGTAATAAATCCATAACATTTTTTGATACCTACATTTGGTAGAGCACAGATAATAATAAAAAAATATGTATCTTAGTTCTTTCACTTAAAAAGAAAGCAGAAAAAAATAGCAAGTATGTGTAATAAAATAAATATATCTCAGCATTCTATGTATTTTTATTATTAAATGTTTTGCATTAAAGAATTGGAGTATTGAATGATATATTTCATTAATTACTTCATATCATGGCCAATAAATTCACGAACCTTTAACCAATTCTTCAGCACTGACTATTACTACATTCTAACAAGATCCAGTCATATAAGCCCCAGATGGGACAACAGTAAGTCTGAGGGCTTATAACACTAAACATCACTTTTTAATACCTGCATTTGGCAGAGCACAGATAATAATAAAAAACTTTATGTATCTGAGTTCTTTCACTTTAAAAAAGCAGAAAAAATTGCAAGTATGTGTAATAAAAATAAATATATCTCCACAAGCATGCATATAGTACGCAGTAGATTATTTGAACTCGCATACTTGGAAAATCAATATGCCCATATATTGTATGCAGAGCAATTCTAACAGCTTTACATGGGAATATTTGCAGAAATACATGCTTTATTTGTTGTGGAATAATAGAGTATCTGTCTGTGTTTAATATGTTTTTTTTTTATATCTGATGATCCGACAGTGACAAAAGATGATAATGTCAGAATATAAGATGTGTTGAGGTAACATTTGGACTGAAAATTTCATTTGAAAATATGGAAGAATACTGTTTCCCCGTATAGTGCACACTTCATTTTTTATTTCAAAAATTTTGGGAAATGTACACGATATACATGGGTATTTACAGTAATTTGTTTTATTCTTAAGTATTGCTGACTTTCACCTTTTATTTCATAATATTTAACATAAAGAACCTAAATTCAAATAAACTTCCATCAGTTTCATGTTTAAAATGATTATGTATATTTAAGTTTTGTTGATGTTTTTGTGTGTTTAATTTGAGTTTTCACTGTCCTTGCTGTAGCACATTGTTTCCTCTCTATTCAGTCTTAACAGTGTAAATTATGTACAAAAGTAATAATTCAGCAAGAAAGTATTAAAATAATTCATATTTCTAATTACATATTATTCTTCAAATAACTTTAAAGGCTAAAAAAACTTGTATTTTTATATTTTCTGTTAGCTTTTTTTCTAATGATATAAATTATTTTGTTCTTAAAAGGCTCAGTTTGGTACTCTAGAAGATTATTTCACTGCATTGCGAGATGAGACTGGTCTTGATGAAAGGAAGTACCCAACTGGATTGCCCACACTTATAGGAGATTTCTTTACTTATGCTGATAGAGATGATCATTACTGGAGTGGATATTTCACTTCTCGCCCTTTTTATAAAAATATGGATAGAGTTCTTGAAGCCCATCTCAGGTAATGTTGTGTTTTATAAAAAGTCTGTCTTCCACTACAACTTGGAAGTCCTTGTAGGTAGGCTCGTAACAAAACATACCATATCATACAGTGTTGCAATACACTTAACACTTGCTTTGTTGCAAGAGCAAATTAAAATTAAAAGAAAAGAAAAAGAAATGCATTGAGCACTGGTAAACCATTTCTAGTCCTTGTTGGATAGAACTCACTCGGCCCTGGCAAGTGTATAGTAGCTCATAAATGACTTCTTCAGCTCGTAAATATTAAGGATACTATCCATCACCAGGATATGACTTGCAGGTTTTTGTTTTGTTAATAAAATGACCATGCCATCGACATTGGTTGGTAGTCGATCAATGTCTGGTGGGTTCAGACTTTTTCTGCTAATTAACCTTTCCTACTTGGAATTCTGTCTTTTACTTGATCTTTTTTTTAGTTACAAGAAAACTGCAATTATTTTAAAAATTTTCATTAAAAATTAAATTCTAAAATATACATTATTTATTTTAACCTTTAAAGTTTTTATGAATTGTTAGTTTAGCATTGCCCACTTAGCTCCCTTCTTAAAGGTTTTTTATACTACTGTTGTGGTTTGATTAACTTTTATAAACATTGTAAAAGGAGAATCAACTCAGTTTCTATTTATTAGTTATTATGCTGGTTAAAGTACTTTTTTTAATGCAGAATTTGTGATAGTCTCTTGAAAGTACTAAACAAAAAATGGTCTAAAGACATGTGGATTGTCAAAATGAATAATTATTCAAAAGTTTAAATAAAAAATGGAACCACACGTTATGGTCTTTTTTTGTTTAGTACTTCAACAACAGACTAGCAAAGGATAACTGATAATTATATATGAAGTGTTTAGTTAATGATAAGCTTTAAAGGTCATGGAAAATTGCATAGTGTTCCTTAAAAAGTCTTGGAGTTTTGTCAACCCAAAAGTGTGGATACCATGCATCACCAATGAAGTGACTAAGTGTATTTTGTCAGAAGTACAAAAGATTGAAGTTAGTATTCATGTCATCGTATTGTTTCCTGTTCTTTTCCCAGTACTTTTGTGTAATTATTTATGGAAGTCCAAAGCATTTAAAGCACACATTGTCTCTCTACTCAGTATGTCCACCATTGCATAATTGACAATATTAAAGCATTTCAGTAGCAGAGGTCCAAAACTCTTATCTCTTTAAACACAAGTAAACATGAATTTCACGTACTCTGAATATAATTTTATAATTGTCAGGCAACACTATATATTTCAAAAGATTCAAGTCATACAAGTTTTAGTCAATGGCTGAGTTTAAAACATGAGTTTTCTAAATGTTCAAATAGCATCTGTGTTAACTGGTATGCAATGTTTATTGTTTTTTTCTTTGTCATTCTCTTCCAGAGGTGCAGAAATCCTTTTTTCTCTGGTGTGGGCTCGAATGGCTCATGTTGGTAGGGACCAAGTACCTTTTGTTGAAGCACTCATGAAGAATCTAGTAGAATCTCGGCGTAATTTGGGCTTATTCCAACATCATGATGCCATCACTGGGACATCCAAGGACCCTGTTGTAATTGATTATGCTACAAGGTAATGTGAAAATATTCCGAGACTTTTAAGTCTGTTAACTGTGAGTAAATTAATTATGAATGTATGTGAACTTGGTTTGAAAATTCTTGTATGGATGTAAAGAACATTTTCCCAATTCTTAATGGATTTTATAACCTAATACTATGAAATTAAACTTAAAAATTACTTATTATTAAAAAAATTATTATTTCAATCAAATGAATCATAGCATTGAAATTATGTTGCATATCGTAAAAATCTAAGTTCCATTTTCATTTTTCATATATTTGGCTAAGAAGTACTTATTGTATTAACCTTTTTTTCTTTCTAGGAAACCTGTATTATTTAACCTTTTATGATTAAGCAGTATTAAATTACTTAGTCTTTAATAGGACCATGTCAAGTTACTATAAAGCAAAACATGAACTTAAGCTTTGTTAGAGACACTTTCACTCAACTAAAGTGGTGCTACTGTTTTACAAGTTTTGGTAATTAATATGTTTAGTGTATTTCTCTTCCTGATACATTTGCATTCCATTCTCTATTTTTTTAATATATTTATTCCAACTATTTATAAATACTTTTATGCTAAAGATTTTTAGGTGAGAAATATACACAACAAAATTTTGCGTATAGCATTCAAATTATTAACTCAAAATAGGTACAGTTGGTTTGTTTTATAGCAAGGCAGTCTGTGAGCTGATACTGAAATCTCTCCAACAATAAATTATCCATAGCCTTTTTTTTTTTTTTATTAATCCTCTCCAGACTAGAGAGGTGTCACTGATATCCCCTGATTTTTTTTCCTACTCTTAGTGTAAATGTTAACCAAATTGCATGATACTTAACACAAATTTATTAAATAGTGTTTAGTCTCTGCTTTAAAAAAATAATGAAATTAATATTTACTTAATTTTCATGTTGTGAAATTTTGTTGAGTCACTATTTTGAAAAAATACATGAAAAATACTTCCCTTTCATCTTAAAATTTATTTATTTTGTGTCTCTTATTGATCAGCAAATTCCATTTTATATACTCAGTCAGTTTAGTAAGTTTCATGAAATTTGGTTAAGTATATCCAATGTGAAAAGGAAGAAATCAAAGAATATCAGTGACACTCCTTTCGTATGGAAAGGATTAACCCAGCTCAGTTTGACCAAAGTCACCTTTATTAGTTTAAACTTTATTGTGATACTGTTTTGTAATTCTTATAATGCCAGTCCTGACTGATAATGAGTACAGTTTAACTACATTTTAAGCTTGTTCAATAATTGATATGTGTTTCAGTTTTATTTCTTCTAAATGTTTCTGTAATCTCTTAAAGACTGTTTTAACAATGTAAATATGGCCATATTCTATAAATAAAATAAAATCCCCTCATTTTACAGCAAGTAGAATACAAAACAGAAAATGTGCTGAAAAGAACCAGTAGGGCCACTACAATTTTGACATATTGTCTGATATTTTATTCACACTTAGTATATAACTGTTATTAACAAATACAATCAAGCTAAAAAGCAAGAAGCAAATTTCCTGAAATAATGACTCACCTCTTCACACAGAAAATTTTAAAACTTTTCTGTTACTGTAAGAGATACGGAGAATTTCACCTTGTTACTACAGATTTATTACCTGGCAGCACTAATAGTGACTGCTTTAATTGTTTTAAATCAGTGTGTTCCATAATTCTATCACTATATTAAAAAAGCTTTCACAAATATAAAAGTTCTGTTTTGTTGGATTAATATTTAACTTGTTTGTTAACTATTCATTATTGGTTTTAATATGAGTATCAACTTTTTGGTAAACTTTGATAGGAAAATATGCCTATTTTTTTAACTGATATTTGGAACTCTTTGACTTGTATAATGACAATCCTTTATCAATTAATAATTGAAATATAGGATTTTGTTTTTCTTTCAGGATGTTCCAGTCAATTCAGAAACTTCAGCACGTTATCTGCCAAAGTTCCTTGTATTTATTATCAAACCTCCAGGGTCACTACACCTTTGATCCAAATGCTGTACTTTTCCAGATTGTAAGTTAAACTTGCCCTAATTTTTCTGTGCAAAATTCTACAAGTGACTTGGAAAGTGATCACAAAAGCATTAGGAATTTTAGTATATAGTTAACAAAAAAAATTATTTATTTTCCATATTTTATAGCATCAGCTCACAGCCACAGTGTCTTGTTTTAATACTGGCATTGTTGACTGCCAGTTCAGCACACCTAGTAGGAAAAAGAAATTTGATAATTATTTGTTTTAAACAATAATGATTACTTTTGTATGTGATAGATATGTATTTCAAGTTAATTGTCTATACTTAAGATTTGTAACATAAAATAATAGGGCCTTTATTAGGGAGTTAAGATCATATAACTTATTGAGAATTTTAGATCTGTATGTTTGTCTGTTTCAAGGTTTCATCTTACCTGTATGTTCATTGCATTTTGTAAAATGCTGCCATTTTCGACGAGTTACAGATATCACATATTTAAGAAAGTCTCATAAAGATATACATGTTAAACTGTTTTCAAAGAAAAAAAAAGTATTTTCCAAATTACTGAATTACATCAGTTTACTCTATGCACATTAAAAGGAGAAAATAATAATGCTTTTACTATATTCTCTCTGAAGAACTACCTTGGGTGATCTCAAACTTAGATGGTTACCTTTGAATCAACAGCCTAATTGTACCACCACATGTTGTTTATATGCTTATTTAGTTCCCTTAGAATTACATGTTTATATTATTGTAAGGTTAGTAAGATTTTTGTTTAAACAAAATGAAAATTGTATAAAAGGTTATTATAAAATTGTTACATATGTTTAATTTGTGAATAAAATTCAGATTTTTCATAGAGATTACACTACCAAAAGTTTGGGGACAGCACACATACAACTGGTTTGCGATAGGCTTTTTCTCACCAAAGTTGCATCTAAATTCTAGAATGCAGTGTGTAAAACTCATTTCACTTTCTCTATAACAATGTTGTACTGGTGACTTTTGGTTTAACAACACAGTCATGGACAAGACTTTAATCAAAACAAGTAGTAACACATCTTACCAGTTCAGATTCATGTTACACAATACCAAGCCACATGCCACATTGTAAAATACAAAGATGTGACTCATATTGTATGACTTGTATATGGGGCATAATAACTCTTTCAGCATGGACTCGGTCCCTGGGACCTCGTAACCATTGCTATAACTTTTGAATTAGTAAGTGTGTGTTAACGAAATTTGACAGATTATCAGTAAACATTGCAATTTTTGTCATGTCTTTTTTTTTCTTTTCGCATGTTGCCTATCCAACATACAATGTAATTTACATTTTAAGATTAAAAATTCTTTTATGCATCGGAAAATTTTCAAATTTCACATTTGAAATCTTTATAATGTCCAGACAGTTGTCAACTGTTTCTTAAGAAAAAAACTTTATATTTTATCTGTTATTTTTGCTAACGAATCTTTGTACGGGTTTGGTAGATTTGGATGATCTTGTAACCACCATAAAAAATTTAGGAAATAAATATAACTTATGCCTCTTTCATTCTAGAATGACAACAAATTATAACATGAAAACATAAATGTTTGGACTAAATAGTTTAAATCTAATAACATTATACATGTATATATATATTTGTAATTTATATTATATTGACCTTTCAGTCATGCCTGGCTAACAATACAGCAGTTACAATAATGCAGCACAAGTGCTCTCACGTTACCATATCCAATAATATAAAACTGACTTTTACTATTTACAAAGTGACGTGTCTTGGCTGTGTTTTAGTAGACTAGTATTTTGTAAAATACAGTCACATTTCTATTATTATACATTTTATATGTATATAGATTATTACTATTTAGGAATAAGTTCTTAAACTTATTTTTCTTAAAGCATAGAACAATAAATAAAGAAGTAAAGTGAGCAATTATCTCTTCTAGTTATGACCTTTGTACTCGGTTGCTGCTTGATGTAGCTTGCTAAGCCTTTTAAAATTTCACACATGGAGTATATGAAATGAAATAATTTTTTTTAGGTTTGATATATATACAGTTGAATAACCAAAAAATCATAAATTACTGTATTCGATACCATAAAATTGCACTATAATTTGTCAAGTTTAGTAATTAAGATGTATTTGGGAGAAAAAAATTTAATTTAGAGCAGACTAAAAACACAACCTACCTTCTTAAACTCATGGTTGGAAAGAACGAGATGGAATCCTAACACATGAAAATGTCTGAGAAAGCCACTAGGGGGACATTCTGAGCTTTCAATTGGTTATTCACTTGTCATATATTGAAGTAAGTGTATATAAGGGACCATTTCCAAAAAGAAAGAGGTGAGTGGTACCACTGTGTTTGATTCAGTACATGAGTAATATCTCAGCAAATAGAAAAGATATAAAGTTATAATTTTATATTCTAGCTTGTCAATATCGGTAATTTGGGTTCCTAATTCGGACGAAACTATAGACTTAGTATTTTGACACCACAAACATCTAATTTGAACCATTGCTGAATTCAACATACCACATGACACACAAAAATTTACTTTTAAATTAAGAAATTAACTAATGTATAATACAAAAATTTGAATTATAATCTACAGTTTGATACCAAACTTATTGACATAAATTCATGAAATAGTAGTTCAATAAAACTTTGAATGAGATTCAACAAACGCGATGATATGGTCTTTGACATGTAACCCGCCTGGAGAAGGTTAAAGGCCATTTGGACATACATTGTGAAAGCCAGTCAAAAATTTTTGTTGCCTGATTAATTGACACCTGTTCTATAATGCAAAGCCAGGCAAAAAAGGATAAAGTCAATATTCCACTAGAAAAGTTTCTAGACCTTTTTGCTCATACACAAAATTGCACTGCAATTAATGTGCTACAGATATAGAAGACTACTGGATATATTATTTTAAAATACTAGTTTGTTTGACCAAATTTAATAAAATCTTGGTAAGTACAAAAGCTGAAATTTGCTGTGAAGCAATACTGCATCTCTAGGATTTTAATGGGGGTTAAGGCTGCATGCCAGCATCTACAGTGTGTGCGAGGTACTGTATGTTACAGCCTATAAGCTGCTCCTTGCAACCATGAATCCAAGGTATATGCTTTTATGGTGATTTGAGCCTCAAACTTGGAGTACAGTGGAACCATCATATTGAGCAATGAATCTTGTTCTAAACTTCAGATGTTCTGGTCTGGGTTTGATGGCACTCTGTATGACACTTTGGATATGACTGTGTGTCATCTCAACTGTGAAAGAAATGTGGATAGTATCATGATGTGGGTTTGTTTTAGGTGTAATGGTCATTGGTAATGTTAAGGGGGAATCATGAATGCCTTGTTGCATTGGGATGATCTTGCAGTGTGAACACCTCTACAATGTTTGCATTGATAAATTTCTGTGAGAAGGGATTCTTTCTATTTTATTATAATCATATATCACGTACCATGTCCATCAATTCTTTTGTAAAAAGTGAATCTCCTTAAGCCAGCCCAGAGCCTCAACCTGAATCCAGTTGAAGAGTTCTGAGACATTTTGGAATTCTAAGTAGGAGAGATTTCACAAAGAAGTATTATTTTGAAAGATGGGTGTCATTATCTTTCACCATATATAAACCAATTGTTGGTGGCAGTGTCAGTAACAGAGCCCAGTATATGAGTACTGTGAAAGATACAATCATTTCCTATTAACATAGGGACCTCAGGTGGTAAGATAGACATCTCTCCTTAAAGTATGATGCTTCAGAACCTTTGATGGTGTATCATTTTGTGCATAACACTGAAAACATCACTCCTAGTTTATAAGATTTTTTTAAAAAGGGTTTATAAAAATATTACTATTTTTTAATAAGTAAAAACATAGAAATTAAAAGCTAATAATTTTCTTAATATGTTTGTATTTGTGCACTTCATCAGTACAACAGTATAGTAAGATACAACAAAAAAGTGCAGTTATGTTCAAGAAAAAAATATTAAGTAATGATTATATTTGATAAATTAGCTATAATAGTGACACAGTAACTATTAGTAATCTAGTTTTAAAAGATGGAAAAAAAAATATTTTTTTTAAAAAAGAAAACATTACTTACAGGATGAAGTACAGGAATTGCACAGTTCAATTTCTAAGAAATTTCCTCTTACATTTTCTAGTTCTGTAAGAAAGAGGTAGGTGTATTTTTCAATTACATTCTTATCCTTATTAATCAAAATTTTATATAAGTCAAACTCAATTTTATATCTAATAAAAATAGTGAATTGTGGCTTTAGAAAACAAATAGAATTAGCATCAGTCATTACAATCACAATGAAATGAAATCTTATACAATTTTAGGTGAATTTGAAAATTCTGTATTCTTAGAGACTACAAAAGTGATAATGAAAATTGGTTTATATTTTTGCAAAAGATCTACATAATTAAAAACAAAACAGAAATGCAAAGAATATATTTTTTTACAATGTGTTATAGGTACTTGAAATAATCAAAAGGAATTTGAAATTTTTAAGCTTAATATTTGTCTAGTGCTGATCATAATTTTCCAATATTATTAGCTGCTGTTGGATCGGTAATTGTAAGTAGTGCCTCTTTCATGGCCAGGTGGGTACATCCTGCCTTGAGAGAAAAATTGCACCACTGAATTAAAAAATTATAGAAAATAAACTTAAAATCATTTTCCCATACATAAAAAAAAAACAACTTCAGAGTTTATTTGTTCAATAAAAAAGTTTTTATTTAATTCATTGTGTTGATATTGGCACACTTCTAATGAAATGACCAGTGTTTGTGAGGAACTGAATTTTGGCTGAGCATAATACAGCTTTTGTAGCCTCCTAGGAGGAAAGTCAAAATAGAGTTGATTGAGTCTTGTAGCTTGAATACAAGTGTAGTTTTATTAAATTTTAGCCAATCACTTTTTTCCAATCTCTGTTGGTAAGTTGGGATGTAATTTAAAAAGCCATAGGGTAGTAATCTAAACAAATAATCACAGCTATTTTTTTGTTCTTTTCAACAATTTAAACCAGTATGGTTTCTGGTGTAGCAGAGATAAGCAGAAATTGGAATAAGGTTACAAAAGCTTAGCTTGGTGATATGTTGACATGAGACAAGATGTTTATGAACCATTTCCACCACAATTACAATTTTGATTTCTATTTTTAAGCTTTCTTTATTGTTTTTATGCTTCATATGAAATATAATGTTGTATTATAATAGGAAATGTTTTTTGTGGAACAAAATGAGTTAGGTTTAGTTCAATCATTTTGTACTAGACTGTGACAAGTTGCATTTTGTCAACAAGGCCTTTGTGTTAGGTCTTGTTTACATTAGGCCTTACTGACCTAAATAACTGTTTGAATTGATAAAGAAAATCACTGAGAAGAAATGTACAATGAAAGATATAAGTGAATATAAAATGGGTTTAAACCTTTTGATTAACAATGTAAAAAACAAAACAAAAAAACTATAATTTTGGTGTGGTAAAAGTTATTTTTATTGTATGACAGTGATTGTAATCACAGTGAAACTGCATATAGTGTTTTTTTATTCAAAACAAAAATAAAAGTTACGATTTTATAAAATAAAAACTTTGTAGAAAATTTAATAAAAATGTAGGAAAACATAAAAATCAATAATTAAAATGTACAACAAAGGTAAACATTTTTAATTGTTTCCTAAGAAACGTATCATAGTGAAGTATATTCAAAGCTGTAAATTCACCCAAATATCTCGTATAAAAAAAAATATTTTATTTGCAGAAGCTAAATATTCACATGAAGTTCTTCTGAAGGTTAACATTTTTTTTCATCCAGTAATTTTTTTTTGTAATGCAATAAATTTAAATATACAACAGATGTGTTGAATAGATGCACCAGGGCATGGTAAATTTAAGTAAGAAATAGTTATCTTAATCTACTAATTTTTGTTTTTTCTGTTTTTGCCAAACATTTAAAAAGTTTATATTTTATCAAATTATTTGACCTAACAAATTATATGTTGCATAAAACAGGGTAAAGGTTGTTAATAAATTATTCAAATGTTTAAAAAACGTTCATTCTTTGTTCATTTTTAAATAGAAAGAATTATTAAAGTATTTTTTTCAGAACAAATAATATTATATAAACAGTATTTTAATATGTTGTCATACAACATATTGAAAACCCATATGGAACCAGTAAATAATGATGTGACTTATCAACCTTGTTATATATATACATATATATATATATATATATTAACATTTTATAAGTTGTAACATTTAGTTTTCTCACTATGTCTCATGATTGGTCTTATTCACTAACATTTTCTCAATATTTTTTATTCTTTGGCTATAAATAAGTATGCATGTATTAATGCATTATTAGTTAAAAGAACAATTATCTGTGCCTTTTAGGAAAATATTTGTGTATAATTCCCTAAGTTACTCTCGGAGGGAATTTCTACGGCTTCATGTTTCCACACCAAATATAGAGATTCGAAACAGCAGTGGTCGAATACTTCCTGTTCAAATTAGCCCTGTTTGGGAAGGTTCCCGTATATTGGAGGGCCAGTTTGAGGTTTGTCTTGTAAATGTTTTTTCAGATTAGCACTACTGGGAAAGGTTTTGTACTTTTGAGAGCCAGTTTATGAATTTTTGTGCGTCATTGTTAAACATTTGTACAATGAAATCTGGAAATGTACAATTGAAAATAATACACTTGAATTACAAGTCAGTAGATCTTAAAGCAGACTTGCTGTTCTTTTTTAAAAGTAAGATCTTTCTTAAACCATAGTTTCATTGTACATAAGTGTTATTAGGACAAACAACAAGTCAACATGTTATACAGTATGGGGCATAAGTAACAATACAGTTGTTTCATTTATAATCTAATTTAACTTCTAATGTCTTTCTCTGAAGCAAACAAGAATTAAATTTGAATTGTCTTTATAATATTTTCTTTATTACCTAATATTTAATAACTTTACATTTGAATTATTACTAATTTAGCTCCTTTTTTGCATTGATATTTTAGGCTTTATTCCTGGTAGAAGTACAACCTCTCAGCCTTACATCATACAGCATAGAGTCATCTGGAGGCATAAGTAGTGGTGTTACTAGAGCAACTGTGACTTTGTACAATGTAGAATCACTACCTGATTCAAAGTTTGTAAAATATTCATAACTTCTTTGTATATAAGATCATTCATTACCTTATGCTAAACATCAAGCATTTTGTGGTTCAGTTTGTTCTTTTTTTGTGTGCCATTTACTTTAATGATTCTCTTTGCTAGCCAAAATACACATGTTGATGTTTTCAATATTATAAAGTGACACACACACACTTTTATCTGTTGTATTATTGGTAATAGATACCAAGAGTCATTCCTAATTATTTTGTTAATTTATCATCTTATTCTGTAATAATTCTCCACTGTTGCAAAATAACGTTTCTCATCAGGGTTTCTGAAATCTATGTTGGTTATCTATACGTGAAACTTGAATAAATTTACAAGTGTCCTTGTTATTGTCAAGGTTAGTAGCCTCTATGATCACCTAAGTCTAATTATTAATTAATTACAAGTTTTTATACTTATTATTATTATGGTTTATGACTTATTGCTTACTAACTAGTTTTTATCCTACATTTTCTCTGCTAATCTGTTGCCATCTTCAGGAAAGACTTCAGAAGTACTGTTTCTGTGGTGATAGTGGCAAGGATTTGAACCTGGGTCTTCTGAATAGAGATTGATGTGCTATCCACTCTTTTGGGGTTTCTGTCATGATATAAAAGACTATTTGGTTTAAATATTAGTGATTAATTTATATTTGTGAGTGAATACTTTATACTTTTAAGTTTTGTTATAATAAGAGTTAAAAGCAGACAATTGCAGAAGGTTTTGTTAATAACTAATTGGTGTCAAGAATATAGAAAGTGACCAGACAACTATGTAATAGATATATAAATAGCTGAGATTAGAGAGAAGCAGCAGACAGACAACATTAGACAGATAATAGCAAAAGAGAATAGAGCTGTGTGAAGTTAAGTACTGTAGATGTGATAGGCCTAACGTTTAATATGTTAGAGTGAAACTAACAATATAAAAAAAGATAAGAAGGATAATTTTATTCTGTCAAAGCATGGTTCTAAAGTAATTGAATCAGCCTGGGTACACTTTGACAAAAGAAACAGAGGATCTGCAGAAGAAAGAAGACCAAACAGATTACAGTAACTTGCACTATAACTGTAACTGAGTCACACACAGAATACTAGTACAATAGTAATATAGAGAAGATAGTTCAACTTGTCAACTGAAATTCCAAAATAATTGAATAGGCCTAAGTGGACTTTTGACAAGAAGAAGAGAACTATATATATAAATAGTGCTTATTATATGCTTATAATCTCTATAGTGTGAAGACTTTGTTAACTTGTTGAGAATATATATAATTTGAAAACAAGTAAAGTTTGTGCTGTTTATTCATCGCCAAATTTATCCCTAACAAGTCACAGACACCTACTGTAGAAGAATACTAAGCCCAACAACAACATAGTATATATTTATACTATTAAGAAATATAAGTAAAAGCCATTTATTTCGACAATTGATAAAAAGAATAACTAATATATATATTATTTTCAAAATCTGACAATTTGGGAGCCACAGCCAGGATTATACAGTAGTAAACAGCAATAGAAGAAAACATGAATGACAGTGGAAATAAGTAGGCCTATCTATATACACACAACTGTACTAGTAAGAAAATAGTATAGAGATTAAAATTATGCTATATAACCATGTCAACAGATTTTAATAAAAGGGTAGAAAGAGGATCTCAACTTGGGTTAAAAGACAGTGAGATACGAGAGTTTGTTAAACAACAATGAGAACTGGAAAGAGAAGAATGGCAACAGAAGAGACAAATTGAGAAAGGAGAAAATAGAAAAAATGAGAATACAAATTGAGAAAGAAAAAGAGAGAGAGGAGAGACTAGAAATAAAGATAATAAGAGCACAAATTGAGATAGCAAAACTCACCCAAGCAGCCCAAATTTGATGAACATAAAGATGACATGGATGCTTTCCTGGAGAGATATGAAAGATTTGCCCAAAGTCAGAACTGGGACAAAGGTGAGTGGGCAGTCTGTCTCAGCCCACTTCTCACAGGAAAAGGCCTACAAGTATATGCAGGCATGACATCAGAAGATGCCATGGGTTATGACAAATTAAAAGTAGCTTTACTGAAACGATATGAACTTACTGGAGAAGGTTTTCATCGGAAGTTCAGAGGAGCCAAACCCGACGCTGGAGAAACTGTATTTTAGTTTGTGGTACGTCTGTGGTGATATTTCACCAGATGGACTAACATGGCCATGTGTGAAAATACTTTTGAGGGACTGGCAGACCTATTAGTACGTGAACAGCTCATAACCATGTGTTCAACTGACATGTCACTGTTTTTAAAGAAGAGAGCACCAAAAGATGTAGATAAGATGATCAAGCTGGCAGTACATTATATGGAAGCCCATGGAGGTAGTATAACTGGCAAGTCCAAGAATGTCCAGATAAATTTGAAATCAGTAATGGCTGACCAGAAGCAGGTGTTTACCAAAGGTGACAGGAGGTTAATAGACAGAACGGAAAAAAAGATGTTATGTTTGTTATAAAATGGGGCACATTGCAAAAGAGTGCAAGTCCATTACCAGCAAACAACAGCAGAAACCTCAACATAAAGCGGCTGGAGCCATTTATAAAGACAGTGCTGGTAAGAAACAAGAAAAGAGCGACTGGCATTATGGATGCCGCTGCCAGAAGAAAGAGAATCAAGAC